TCAAATTTACGAACAGCCCAAAATAGGACTTTTTCAAGTCATTCCCCCCCAATGGACACTCCAGTGACCAAACTACTCTGCACAAACGAGCGTGCGCCTGATCGATCTGTCCATACTACTGCCATATTGGAGACACCAATACTCTATTCCAGTAGTTATTTGATCAGTGGATCCTCTGAAACTGTTGTGGGGGGTAAAGGGTTAAACACCTAAATATGTTCCCTCGTAAGTAAAACAAAGCTTTCATATTTCAGATTAAGAAAGTTAGTTTGGTTGTCTCGTTTTTGTCAACACTCTTCGAGAGCAGGACTGGTAATCTATACCATGTAAATATTCCGTTGGTTTTCTTTCTTTTTTAATGTTTGTTGCACTATTATCGGCGCTAAAATACAATGTCAGTGGTTATTTTTTGAATAGCTCAAGAGGAATAAAAGATAGATACCTGCGGTTTTCATCATTCGCTAGCCAAGATCTGAGGCTATGTTTTCATAAATAAAAATGAACTTGGAAAAATTTCAAAGATTAGTTTTTCAGGAGATCTGTGGAAAATCAATTCGGTTCTCTAAAAGCTGACGTAGAAATCTATGGATTTGTTTTCATACATATATAGTCCGAAGTGTCGTCTACAAAACTGGATCTAAGGGATATCTTAGAAATTCATGGTTCGGGAAACACGTTTGAAGAGAGCGAAAGTTGTAAGAAGTCTTTTGGCGACGTTTGCTGTTTAGATTTTTTTCTCGTACAAACTCAATCAAGAAATAATTTGTTCTCTCTGTTTTACAAAGTTCACACTTTACTCTTTCCGACGGAACAATAATACATCGGAAACATCGAGAAATAATGCTCGACATTTTTTCCATTACTTTTACACTATAAGCTGTCAAATAACTATCATTAATACGTTTTTCGTCCTGTTTCCAACGTCGTATTCGGTAAAATAGAAAATAGTAAATTAAAATAAATACGGCCTGCCCATCAAACATACTTTGTTTGAAATGTTTTCCTTTTGCTTCCTTTGTTCCTGGGTCAAATTAAATAAATGTTGCACAGAAGAAGAAGACGTTCTGTAAAGTAAACTTAAAATATATAAAATTATATAAAATGAATAATTTGTGAAGTATCTAGAGAATAATACGAGAACAGTGAATATCAAATTTATCACTTCGAAGCTGAGAAAGTATCCATACCTCTGCCTGTTAGTCGTGTCTTCTGAGGCCTTTTTTCATCGCTATTTTCTTGTTTATTCTCATCAAATAAAATTACACAAAAAAAACGCAATTATTTACATAGTTGAATAAGAGTGCCTACCATAGATCGTCACGGGTCGGAAAAACCTAGGGGGGCCCGCGGGTCCCCACGGGCCTGTTTTTTTGAATCTTGTTTACGGGCTAGACCGAATCGGACCGGGCTGCAATTTGATGGCCTGCATGCGAGCCCAACCTTTTTCCCAAAACGTCGAGAAAATTACAAGACAGCATCGAAAGGCAACACTCGTATTAAATGTGAGAAAAGATACTATCTTTTCTTGAAAATGAAATGTGAAAGTTCTACGGGCTATCCTGCGGCGCGGTCAGCAGAATGCATCTGGCCCGGCCGGTACGGGCCGCTTCGAAAATTGTATGCGTTCCGAGCCAAGATTCTTGAGCCCGTACACGAACCGGGCCGTAAAAACATGGTCCGGGACGATCTCTGGTGCTTACGTATAGCAGAAACGAAACAATTTATTCTTTTCTTTATTGTCACTCTCGATAGATGTAGAATAAAGCTTGCACGCTAGTTTGAAAAAAGATTTGAATACAGAGATCTATAAACAATTCTTTCTTCTATAGCTAAACAATTTTCACTCAGAAACGTTCACGGATGAACTTAAATTTTTTAGAACTAAAAAACAAAGATGAGCGCGCTTAAATCATAGAAAATAATCCTTGATTGTCCATTATCCAAGGGGGAAAAGCGGTTCCGGGTTTTCGCGTGGATCCGAAAACATACCCATGGATCCCCAGGTATTCGAAGTTTGTCCTAAGAGTACAAAAGCCTTCTTTAAACCTTTTATACATTTTAAACAGATAAGAAAAGCGAAACGAATATTTCTGAGTTCATAACTTCACTTTCTGTGATTATCTGGTGTAGTATAAGGTGTCGGAAATTCAAAATTGCAACGCATTTTATTTCTGCGATATTTATACATGGTTTGTTATAGCTCCCTGAGCTGAGTCGAAATATGTTTGTTTTAGCCTTCCGGGAAAAATTTTGTAGTCGAAAATTTAAAACAACTGAAATCTTCAAATCTGGAAAAGCCGGCTTATTTTTTTTAAAAACGAGCGTAGATTTCTAATACAATGTTTTGGGGAACTTAAAGTTTTTTTTCTTGTTCTACGTGAAAAAGTGAATATAAAAGATATCGTTTCGATGCGATTCAAATATTATTTCACCTAAAAAGTTTTTGTTCTTACGAATAGCGAAAATCCGCTATCTGTCAAAAACTTCAAGTCTTTTTAGATATGACATGAATCCAATATTTTTATATCATTAGACTCGACCTGATCTCGCTTTTATACTTTCAGAAATGATTGTATCCGCATGGATCGGGATCCGCTATTTCCCTTTGATTTGTTTTCACTGATAACAAGAGAACGCGCTGCTGTAAAACTTGTTTGGCTCGCGTGGTAAAGGACACTTTCGAGATTCCAGTTCATAATCATATCATCGCTTTATTATAAATGGTACCGAGTATCACTTTAGTGTATATAATATAGTCAAGCGTTATATTGGAATACCTAGCCATATAATGCTATCGGATATGTACTCCATGATCCTGCATATTCTTTGTTTTCTGCTTACACACGTGTTTTTATTTTTATCTATAAATATTGTATTACCGCGGAAATTCCAGTACCATTACCATCGATGGTAGTGATAAAAAAATTTACACTGATAGTAATGGTATGATAGATGGTTCTCGTTGTTGTCATCGTCCTTCTCATTACTTTCATCATATATTCCACATTGCTTCCTTACATATTGACGTTTGAAATCGACAGAATTTTTTTGATATTTGGTTGGTAATATATCTGATACATCACCAAATTTCTCAGCAGATTTATAATATTTTCGAAATTCATTTAATTCTTTTGCTGTCGATGGTTTATCCAATGAATAAAAATCGCATAATGCACTTATATCACTTGGCTGTATATCGTGAGACTAATAAACTTTTAACGCTAAAATTTTCCATACATTTGTAAATATGAACTGTATTTTCGTCGAAACGATCACTAAATGCTAATATTATCTGAAACTGGTATATACACATATATTGATGCTTTTTGACTTTTTTACGTTTTTAATGAAACATAGTATATTCAAAATTATTGAAAAGAATTTAAGTAAAATCATTTTAAATAATTCGAATTTCGAAAATATTATAAATCTTCTGAGAAATTTGGTGATGTATCAGATATGTTACCAACCAAATATCAAAAAAATTCTGTCGATTTCAAACGTCAATATGTAAGGAAGCAATGTGGAATATATGATGAAAGTAATGAGAAGGACGATGACAACTACGAGAATCAAGATCCAGAGAACGTTGAAAGTGGAAATGAGAATCAAGCTAACAGGAAAGATCGTTCAAAAAACGAACTAACGGCTAATTCAGAAATAGAACGAATAATAAAACTATGGTTCTCAAACAGTTTTACAAAATCACTTAGGGTATTATGGGGCACAAGTGGTTACCCGCATTTAATGTGTATTTATAAAATTCTAACTGTGTTGCCGGTTACAAGCTGAAAGAGCACTGAGCAAAGTTGCTATAGTTAAAAATCGGTTACGGTCGACAATGATGGATGATTGATTTGCATCACTAGTAATTATTGAATCTGAAAAAGATATTGTTAACGAATTAAACAGTGGGGAGCTGGTTGACGATTTTGCAATGTGTTCGCGTGCATTGAAGAAAGAACTACTGCAACAACATCAAGATTAACAAATCTCACGAGAAATTTCTTTCACTTTCTGATAAAACAGGTCTAAGGGAGCAAGGCAAAATTAGCAAGGTAATGAGATAGCTAACAGTTTGCGATTCGCTGCAGATTTAGAGTCCTGCCGCGACATCGCGAGTGTGTAGCGATCACGCCATGATTTCGCGAGCATATAGCGATCGCGCTGTGACTATGAAATCGCGATTGGACTCCTACAAAATATTTTTTCTAAAAAACATGGGTTTACCAAGATCACGACGTGATAACGTGACTTTATAGCGATCGCGACGCGACAGTCATGAGTTTATAGTGATCGCGATCGCGTCGCGACTTAGGCGTGATCGTCGACCCGGGAAGTTAGTTAATTTATGGGATATCCAAATTGGACGAAGAATTATTAAGAAGCAGTTAGACAACTACTGTATTAATCTGGCTGCAGTCCACTAAGATTATGATGATCAAGATCGCCCGTTGGAATATGTAACCAAAGAAGAAAAGGAAAGATTTCAGAGAAAAAGATAAACAGCGGTAAATACTATAATTCAATATAATGGATTTTTTTCTCTTTTCTCTTTGTAGGCTTTGTTTGAGCAGTTGGAAAGATCAACGGTATATGAGGCTCGATACTCATAACTTATTGTATCTGAGCGAACGTATCTCTTATGATTTGTTACAAATCTCCCGATCGACAATTTTGGATTGGATACAACAGTCATTCTACCTCGTGACAACACGCACAACAAATCAAACAGAAAGAATCAACGACCTTATCCATTATCGAGAAGAAAAAAGGTTTTCATATGTTAATAAAGAATATCGTACATCATTGCCACAAACGAAGAGAACAATCATCAATAATGATGATGATCATATACAGATGAAACGGTAATGTACTGTTTTCTAATTATGCTGCATTTTTACTGGTGTTTGAGATCGATATGTTCTTGTTTTTTAGTGGTAAGTATGATCTTCAATCAACTGCTCGACAAACATCATCATCATCAGTATCAGTCGACATACACCCAATAGAATGTACCATGGTGCTTAATGCACATGGAAATAATTCCACAATCGAGCCAGCGGAAACAACGATAGATGAATAGTCACCAATAATTAAATCGACTCGAGTAAGAATTTTTCTTATTTATCGTTTTTGCTGATCTTTGTTATTTGCTATATAGACAAAATTCGTCGTGACACGGAGAGTGTATATCTATGCAACATTCCGTTACATACAACAAAAAAGAAAATTTTAGCTTATTGTAAAGACAAAGGTGGACATGTGAATTTTTTAAATGTAATGTATGAAAAGAACGGGCAGTTCAATGGACTGGCTTTTGTTAGCTCCAAACATGGAATTTCGGTTCAACAATTCACTGACAAACGCCCACATAGAATAAATGACAAACCAATACGATGTAAACGTACTTTACCTCGTAAACAATTCGAAAAAAAAATGTCAAGATATCGAGTAACCAAAAAAGTGCTTTTATGTTTTGATGTCAAAGATAAAATGTTAAGTGCGTGTGATGAACCTACCCAACTTTTACTTTAACTGTTAAAATTTCGATGTTTGTTTAGGTAAGCATTTCATCTCAAATTTAAATCTGATCAACCGTACAACTGACGACTTCGCTTTAACATTTGGACACTTAGAATGTCCAATATTGTCTAAAAACAACAATCGAATATTTAGTTTTTCGATCACGTTTACGGATTATGACTCAGTCGATCGACTGATCATAGAAAACTATTATCAACAATTTTCATTATATAACGTTCGACTTGAAGCTGACAAGATATATGAAGATCTAGATGACGAAGAAAGCATTGAAAAATCACGTCAAAAAATCAGATCTACTCGATCTCGTCGAAATGAATATAGTAAGCAGTGTGAGTTGTTGCGCACAATTAATCAAAGCCATAACTGGCTCGTCCAACATCTCTCTTTATTCTAGCTTGCTGAAATGATCCATCTTCATTTTTTAAGTTTAATCGAAGCACTACTAGAAATTAATTCGATTGTTTTGGCTAATGTAAGTTACAAATATTCATTGAAAGATAACAACACCAAAGAGCAATATTTATACTTTTTCTGTTTAGCTGTTTCGATTATGAATACCCTTTTTGTATATTCCTTCAGCATAGTTACCAGCTTATGTTCAACTTCGTTTTCAAACATGTCTTAATTGTCAGTCTTGATCAGAAACGCAAGGCCATACGCGATTTATGTACGGTATGTATTCGTATAAAGAAGCCATACATCATTTTGACGATATGTATGACTTTTTTTTGTTCTATTTAGCTATACTACTAAAATGGTTGAATCGTTTACAATTTAAAATTGGTCAAATAGAAACGCAATCTTCTCATGCTGCACAATTGTACATTTTATAATTAATCTACATATAGTGCCGTTGTAAACATGTAACAGTATTATGTTAAAATTTATTGTTAACTGAGAGTTCATTTAATTTTTATGCAATTATCTCTAACTTTTTATATACGTCGCTGTGTTTTGCTTGATAAATAAATTACTTTTTCTGATAATTTTTAAATATAATTTATCCATCAGTATCCATGTGGCTCTACATTGAGCCTCCTATAAGATTTTTATCTAGAAATATCTAACATAGAGAAGACTTCAAGACAACAAAGTAGATGTATATGAATCGTGAAAAACATTACTCCAAATCATAGTTTAGATTTTATAATTTAGCTTGCGAGAATCGTTTGTACTTAAGGAGGGAGCGGTCCCCTCACCAGTTTGTGGAGGACAACTCGAAGTATATGGCCCAACAAAGCTTTCGGTTCCCGGATTTATAGTTTCTGACTAATAGGATTTTTAAATTTTTCTCGGGTTTTTTGCCCTATTTTTAAAATTTCAATAAAAACTTGATTTTTAGATACGAAAAGTTGATTCTAGCGTAGTTCGATAGAGAACATTAAGTTGTAGGAGGAGAAATACTTTTTATCGTTCCCGAATGAAGTTTTTAACGCAGAAATTTAACGTTCACCGAGGAAACTTCAGAGCTAGAAGTATTTTTCACCTCACCTTACGGCTAGTTTCGCTCGAACCAAGCATTTTGTAGCAAAATTCTGGGTACAGAAGTGGTTCAGAATCGAATTCTTTCTGCCTTTCTTTTTATTTTGGTAACATACCATGGTAACGGGTGGCGCATAATAAACGGGACACCTTTGTTCTTTATTCTTAAGGCACTTTCGAATGATCTAAAAATCTGGTTCTAGTCTCATTCGATAGAGAATTGAATTCTCTACAGAACCTTTTGCTGCTTTTTGAATCTCTGATAGCATTTTTCTCCTTTGAGCACCACTCAAAATATTGAATAGTGTTAAAGTCTCGAACTGCGACACACTGAAAACAGAAAAATATTTGCCTTGATCCCAAAACAGATTCCATAAGAATTTTGAAAACATCAGAAGATTCACCGGAAAATTCTGCATCTTCTCACACATTCTTCGAAATTCTGCAGTTAAGTCTTCTACGAAAATTTCTCTTTGCAAAAAGGTGACAAATCTAAAAAAATCTAACTTTTGAATCTATTTTTCACAGATTTT